CCTGAGAGCCCGCGAAGCTGGAGCCGCCGGAGGCCGGCAACCCTTTCTCCACCTCTCGCAGCTGCTTAGGTCTCTTCAGGTGCCCAGAGACGTTTCTTTTCTCTTCTTCCTCAGAGCTCCCACTCCTTAAAACGCCCCATTCTCTCGGGATCATAAATGGGTGTGGGGGAGGGAAGTGCACTGGACTATGGTGATGGCACACGGGTGACTCGGTGATGGGAAGCCCACGGGAATTACAACTGAGATGGAAAAAGGCACAAAATGATGTAAAAAACCAAACTATTATTAAAAAAAAAACTCCTGTTCTCTTCAGTCCCCCTCTTCCTAAGAGACCCCCTGTGGCCCTAAAAATCTCCTCAGAGTCCCCATGCCTCAGAAGCTCCCCACTTTTTAGAGCACCCCTTTTATTCTTATTGCTTCCATATCAGTGCCCCAACTCTTTAGAGGTGTACCCACACACCTCTTCAGAGCACCCCTCTCTTCCTCCAAGCCACCTTTCTTCTCAGAACCACTGCCCCTCATGACTCTCAGAGCCCCACCAATACTATTTATCTCCAGATATCTCTACGCTTCCTCAATCCCCTAAAGGCTCACGGCAGCTCCCACAGGGGGCACAGGTAAGTGTGGTGATGGCAGGGAGGTTAGATCTGAGTGATTGTTCTCAGCTGCAGAAATCCACTCACCTTTTAAGGTCTGGCTTAAGTGTAACCTGGCTTGGTTATTCATTCGTTAGCTCTGTAGGATTCTGGGCCAGCAAACTTTAGCACAGGGTTACAGCATGAACAATGCCTACTCTGCACCCAGTCAGTAAAGCTTCACGCGTCTTTGTTTCTAGACTTGTAGAATCAGAGAGGGATCATCATGCAATAAAAAGGGAACAGACTGGGCACGAATCACTTATCCAAAGCCTATACACTCTGGGGAGACTCCAGATGCAGCTCACAAAGGGTCCTCAGCTTCACTGGGAACTCTTCAGGGTGTAGCCCATCTCTCCCCCATTACTGCTAGAGAGGAAACACAAACACCATCTGGTGTGGCTGGATTGGGGGCCCTCCAAGGAGACAGCAGGGAATGGAAATGAGTGATGAGGGTCAATTTAAGAACAATCTCAAAAGCGCCCACATAAGCAGACCTCTCCCTTTTTGCCCACTACTCTCTCTTGCAGGGTATTTCAATAAATCTGCCTTTCCTGTACTCCAAAAATAAAAATAGCAAATGAAAGCTCCCAGAGGAAGGGAAACCCGACACTTGGACCAAGTAACAGGAAGTACTCGAACATGTGAGGACCATGGAAAGTGGATGCCTATGGGGAAGGTCAGCTGCTAGCACAGCACTCTCAGGAGCCCTTAAAAAGTACTAGGTAACTTTGGTGTCCTTCAAAGACCAGTGGTGGGAGTAGGGGTGGGTGGGAATTAGAAGCTTTCAGAAACAACTTGAAGTTACTGGGTGGGGAGGAGGGAAAACTGATGTGCCGAGATCCCGAAGGAAATCTGAGGAATGTGGGTTATGGGTTAGAACCTGCGGGTACTAATGCAAGAGCAATCAGGTCCAAGCAGGCAACAGAGGCCCAGTTCTTGGAGGCCACCTGGGATCTACACCTTATAGAAACGGGTCCGCTGCTCTGGCACCCAAGGTAACATGTCTCTGGCACCCAAGGTAACATGTTTGTCCAAGCAGGCCTATAGACAAAAAAGATTGCATCTTTTGTGGTGTATCTGGACACATGGTGGAAGGTGCTGGCTTGGGTCATCACCTCTGGGTTCAGGCCCCAGAAGCATACTGCTGACCTTGGACCCTGAAGTTTCAGTGCTCCAGTTCATACTTGCCTCCTCACAGAGCTGCCTTAGGGCAGAGGAATTTTCCTGAAGGGAAATTCAGCCCCCATTGAACATGGAAAGATCTAGATGGTTTGGGTACTTCAGCAGTCTGCTTTAGTGGTTTAAGAATTTGGTTTCTGATGAAGGGCCTATGTTTAAATCTGAGATATAACCATCTTCTTCCTGGTGAGGGAGAAGCAGAGAAATTCAAATCCTGGTTTGCTCTGCTCCTAGCAGGGTGCTTCTTTAAGTATCTGAGAGAGCTCATCATGAACCTAGCATGTCCAAGGCCTTGGGGGACTGTGGATTAAGTGGAAAAGGTCAGGCCATGCTTCTGACCAACTTCAGACTTTGTGGTAATCTGAAGCCTTTTCCCCAGATGCCTCTAGGCTCTCGCATTCTTGTGCCCTTTTGAAGCTGTGCAGCCACAGGCTAGATTCAGCCTCTCTGAAGGCACTGTCCTCCCATGAAAATAAGTGTTAATACCTATGCCACAGCTGCAGATGATGAAGTAGTGTGCCTAACGTGCTTATCAGTGTGTCAAGCACAATAGAGGAGCCTGAGAAACTGTCAGTCTCCAGCCCTGCACATTGCTGCAAGGACCTCACTACCTCTGGCTCCTAAGTGTGTGTATAGGTGGTTGGGTGAGCAATGGGATGAATGTACCTGTTTGCAACCTGGACTCAGACAAAAGTACAGAAAGGAAAGAGAGTATTCACAGACTTCTCTGGGCTCTAAGGATGGAGACAGGGAGTTAGCAGAGGATACACAAAAGGGTAAGAGGTGTCAAGATTCCAACAAGAGAGACAGGTTAAAGCTGGTCAGAGACTGAAGAGCTAGGAGAAAAGGGCCGAGATGCAGAAGGATCTCTGCCTGACCTCAGCCTCAATGGACAAATCTGGGACTGGGACATAATGACTTGGTGACAGAAAATGCTTTGGAGATCTCAGGATGAAAACAGAAGGTTTACTTGTTATAACATGTCTTCCCCACAGGCCCCTCAACTTTAAGGGGGAACAAGGCAAGCCCCTGAAGGCTGCAAAGGGTCACAAACCTTTCCCAGCTTATGCTAAGCACCCATTAGTTTGTGGTCCTGAAGAATCGGCCTCAACAAAGTGTGTCCACCATCCATCCTTTTTATCTAGTCCCACATCCTGAAGGTGCCCTCATTTCTCCCACCCTTAATACCTACACCACAATGGATGAGGAAAAAGTCCACAGGGCTTACAGGGATATGCGGTAAAAACAGAAAAAAAATGTCTGTTAAAAAAAACTCCTAACCTGAGATGATCACAGTCAGATTTCTATGCCCCAACTGACACCCAGGTGTTTGGAGGTGACTCCGAACCGCCAGGCCCTGGGGAGGCAGGCAACGGTGCTGCGCCACACCAGGCCAAGGGTTTGCTGTTAAGTTCATCCCGGGGATTAGGTTGAGCCAGGTGCCAGGTGCACCCGTGAGTGGTCTGGGTTACAACCTAGTGTTTGCTGCCCTCTCCTGAAGTCCAGGGTGGCTAGAGGGTAGAGTCCATCAGAGGGTAGCTGTTTTCTGGCAGCATGATGCGAGTGCTGGTACCTGTCCGGGCAGAGGCAGCGTATGGGTCAGACATGTGTTTGGACTGGCGGAGGCACAGACAGCAGAGAAGGTGGCGAAAGGTGCGGCGCATCTCGGCATCACGGCATGAGTACACCACGGCATTAACCAGTGAGTTGACCTCAGCCAAGAGTAGGAAATACTTCTCTACGGCCAGGACGTTGCAGGACTCGCAGCCCAGACCATCTAGGAGGAGCACCACCTGGGCTGGGGTCCAGCAGACCACGAATGCCCCTGTAGGATAGAGCCCAGTGTGAGAGGGCCAGCTGTAAGGGGTCTTGGCACCCTAAGCTGGGCCAGTGACTGTGCAGGTTGCTGCCTTGGCAGAGAGAAAGGGCAGAACGGCCAAGAGGGGACACCTTTCCTAATGGTACAGTGGTCAGGGCCTTGCGTGTTTCTACACTGAGATTTATTCTGGGGGGTGAAAGAGATCACTGTGGGGCAGCTACTTGGGGTGGGGAAGATCTTTGGGGGACAGTGCTTGGTGGCTGGTAGTGTATCGTCATGGGAGGGGCTTGTTGCCACCTCCCGGGTAGACCAGACCATTTTACACTTGACAGATTCTTTCTAAAAACTCTCCAGGGCTTCCAGAACAAAGCACGACTCCTATCTGTACCCTTCTTTTGAGGCCATGTTGGCCTCTCTTGCACAACAGGCCAGTCACGAAGGTCTCCTCTCCTCTTTGGAGGTGCTGACTTGGTGCTTCTAGGGCACTCGCCTTCTGTCCCCACTGCCTAGAACTCTTATCCCTGTATCAACATGTAGGTCTTTGTTTAGGAACTATGTCACTAAAGAACAACTTACTCAAGTTGTTCCCTCCCATGGTGCTCTTGTAGGAATTTGTGGGAGGGGGAGAAGTGGGGATCCTGTGACCCAGGAATGGCTGAGGGCCCCACTCACCCAGGATGATGACAACAGTCTTGACCAGGCTGAGTGTGGTCTCCCGGTAGCGGGGATGGCAGCTGACGTGCTCCGACATGCGCCGAACCCGCCGCCGCACATATAAGAAAATGCGGGTGTAGACAGCCACCATGAGCAGGAAGACAAGTAGGCTGGACAGAGCCCAGACGGTCAGGTAGGAGCGGCTGAGCAGTGGGGCCATGCGTGAGCAGCGTTCTAGGGCACAGAGGCAGTGCCAGAAGCGGGCAGGCAGCAGTCCCAGGCCCAGGGCAGCCACCCACACGCCCACGATCAGCATGACGACCCTGCCACGGGGCAGGCGGTTATGCAGCTGCACGGCCATCACGCTGCGGTGCCGCTCCACGGCAATGGCCAGCAGTGTGGCCACGGACGCGGTCAGGCTCGCGTCTAGCAGGCCCTGCCTCAGGAACCAGCTCTCAATGGAGAGCCGGGCTGTGCGTGGACCTGTGTGGAACATGAGAAAGAGGTAGGCCACTCCAGCAAAGAGGTCGGCTGCAGCTAGGTTGCCAAGCAGATAGTAAATGGGCTGGTGGAAGCGACGGTTTGAGGCGATGGCCGCGATGACTAACAGGTTGGTTAGCAGCACCAGCATGCTGACAGTCAGCCCCAGTGCCACCACCACCATATCCTTGGGCCGCCAGTGGGGGCTGAGTTCCTTGCCGCTGTTGTTGTAGAAGAAGCCAATGGTCTGGTTGTGGTAGCACTGGCCCATGGAGGCCATCTGGGGACACAAAGGGAGAGGTTAGTGCAGGTGGTCTTGTTGGAAGAATACAGGGAGTGGGTGGCAGCCAGAAGGGCAAGGGTCCCAAACTCAGAATTCTGGGGCAAAAGGGAGGGGAAACAAAGCATGGAGTGGAGCAGCTGTTGCTTATTTAGGGCTCTCATAAAGATATCCCCAAATTACATGATCCGGCTGGTTTTGCTTTTTAATGTAAAGAAGCAAAACAAAACCTGTCGGCCCAACGCTGCCAATTGTGACCTGGGTTGTTGGGGGTGGTGGGTGTTAGCCAGAGCTGTTGAAAGTAGGTCATTTAGTGCTGGGGTCAGGGCAGGGGCAGAGATACAGGGTGGGGTCACTGTGGGACGTGGAGGTGACGGGGCGATCAGAGTGGCAGTGAGGCAGTCCAGAAGTTGGGCGGCGGGCTTTGGGCGCCAGTGCTCCCTAAGCGAAGCGGGCGGGGCAGAACAGAGGCCCCTGGCGGCCTCCGGGACAAAGGGGCGGCTAGGGAGGCGGCGGCAAGCTGGCCTCCGGGAGCCCCCAAGCTGGGGGAGGAGCGGGGGTGGGGGGGTGGAGTGGGGGTTCTGCAGGCACGTGTCGCACCCTTCCCGGTACTGCACCCTGCCGGTACTGCACCCTGCCGGGTACTCTCGCCCTCCCGCCCGCTCAGTGCTGGTCTCACCTGGACCGCCCGTCACGCGGCAGACAGAGAGGCCTCGCCGGGGGTGAGGACCCGCCTGAAGCTCATGGCCCAGTGGCCGTGGTGAGAGTAGAGGAGCGTCTGGGTGCGCCGAGCTCAAACGGCCCAGAGAGCGCGGGAGGCGGGAGGAGGGAGGTGGGAGGCGGGAGGCGGGTCCCACCCTACCCCCACCCGGCCCGGCGCCCCACCCCCTGGGGAGCCCCGCCCCGTCTCAGTCACCTGAAGGACCCTAGCTTTGCTGCTGGGACTAGGGCGCAGTCGCCCGGAAACACAGCCCCAATCCCGTTTCCTCCCCACCTCGCGGCCCCTCAAACCAACCCCTCTAATTCCTGCGGGGGACCCCCACCCCCCAGCCCAGCACACCTCACACGTCCGGGGTTTCGGGCCTTCCAGGCTGAGTCACTCGCAGCCCGCAGCCCGCGAATTCTCGTCGGGACCTCGCGCCGTGAGGCGCAACTCCGGGTGGTCTCTGGGCACACGCGCCCCCCTCCCCTTCCCCTGCCTCGGCCCCACCCCCCTGTGCCTTCGTGTCCAATCCTTCGCCGCGTTCCAAGCCACGCCCTGATCCGACCGTCCTGCTGCCAGGACCCCAGCCCCTCCTGGGTCCCCAGGCCCGAGCTACAGCCTCCAGGACCCTGGGGACCCTGTGGATCCCTCCGGCCGCAGCCGACCCTTTAGCTGCACACGAGTTTCTCGAGGTCCGCCCCTGTGCCCCCGCGGCGGCCAGGGCTCCCACGGCCCAGAGCACATAGCTCTATTGTCTTGGTTATCTGTACTTTTGTTATATTTGTTTGATTGTGCAGGACTGGGTCGGGGACTTCTAGCTCCAGAGGGCTGGGCCAGTGTCTCAGTCAGATGCCCAGGTCCAGGCCCGACTGCTTGCTGAGGGATATTTGGACGTGAAAGAAAGGAGCCTCAGCTTTCCTGGTGGGTAAAATGGGACCAAAGGAAGCTGCCTTCCAATACTTCTCCCCTGTCGTCCTCCCCTGCCAAAGAAAGACATATTCAAGGGTACAAAGCCACGATTTATTAAGAGGTAATCAGATCCCAGGCACCCAAGGATGTGGTGTGGGCTGCCCATTGCCTCAAGAGCTGGTTACTTGGGGTGGTCATCTAAGGAGTAGCCACAATTAAAATAGGGAAAGGCACCCCTGTCCCAGGGGTCAAAAAACTAGGATAAACCCCAAGGACCCTCTGGCCTACATTGACCCTGAGTATTGACCCTGAAGGACCTCTGAACCTGGATGCTTGCCAGTGACCTTGTTTAGTGGGGACTGTGCTACAAAATCAAAGGGTTTTGATTCCCCCTTAGGCTGCGTAGTCTCTCCTTATAGGACCTCTCCAGACTGCCCACCGAGGCGCTCCTTAGGAGAAGAGGATCATCTTTTCAGTCTTGGGTTTCTTGGTCAGAGTGTTAGGATGGTCAGAGATGGTCCTCCACTTCCTCAGGCGGGGGGTCTGGACAGCAGGTGGTCTTGGGCCTGGTCTCATTATGTAGCTTAGAGAGTAGCCGGGCTGTCTCTTGGGTGATCTCAAAATGCTTGGGAATTGGGGTACGGCGAAGGGGACTGCTGTTCTCAAGGGAGGCAGCAGCAGGGCCAGACCCCCGCCTCCGCAGGCTTCCTTGGGGCACTGATGTGATAGGAGCGTCTTCACACAATTTGGAAGCCACTAGGGCCAAACTGGACAGCTGGTGGGTGACAGGTCGCACACCCCCCCGGGGATACTTCACTGGCTGGCGGCTGAAGTGGCCACGGGATTGTGTCCCCAGGAGTGTGTCCTCAGGGCCTTGGCATGACACTGTGGATGGGATGGTCAATGCTGAGTATCCCCAGTCTTCAGGATATCCCCCAGGAGTTATCTCTCAGATAAGCTATCCTAGGGCAGGGGCACCCCCAGAACTTCTGGGCTACTCTCCAACCCACTCACCTTCCTCTCCCTCATCTTTGGTGTCTTTGGCTACTTCCTCTCTCTGGTCACTCTCTGAGATTGGAATCTGCAGGGAGAAACCCAAGAAGGAAACCCCAATAATAAAATTTCTGTTCTTGGAGACTCTTGGAGAACTGAAGGTTTTTTCCTAGACATGCTAAAGTTCCTTTGCAGTTGTGGTATCTGGGACCTGGGGGCGTATGTGATACCATAATAACGGATTATTTCTTGCCCCCATGCAGAACAGCATCATTAATCTCACTTTGAGCTCCATGGGGCAAGAAGGACCTTGTTCAGCTGAGGGCCAGCACGGGAGCAACTCTGGCATCTTTGCATTAGGACCAGAGAATGACCCATCTCCATGCTGCTCTGGTCTCTGCTACTTTATGCCTGCTTTATAGTTTACCTGTATGTACTTGAGTTTCTGCCCTTGCTTAAATACTAATAGTAGCTGAGTCCTTAATATGTGTCAGACACTGTCCTGAGCACTTCTGGAGCCATCCCAGTTCTCAGAGAGCCTTGGCTCACTGGTAGCCTCTCTCCAGCTTTGGCTGCTGTGGGGGAGGCCGGCACTCTCCAAAATGACGCAGGATCAGAGGGACAGGGAACCCCCCTGTAAGAGTTTCATCATCAACAGTTTTCACTAATAGTTTCTCTCAGGCACCCACTATGTGGTAGTAGGCACCCAGTGATGGCCTGCGGACCCTTTGGCCTCATTGCTGCCAACCTACCCTCTTTCACTAGTGTGGTTGTGCTGTACCACACCGGGCATGCTCCCACCTCAGGATCGTGGCCGTTCCTATTGCTTGGGACATTTCAGTCTCCATCTGGTTTACTCCTTCCCTAATATCATTCTGATCTACTCAGGACCCTTTGGCCTCACTGCTGCCAACCTGCCCTCTTTCACTAGTGTGGTTGTGCTGTACCACACCGGGCATGCTCCCACCTCAGGATCGTGGCCGTTCCTATTGCTTGGGACATTTCAGTCTCCATCTGGTTTACTCCTTCCCTAATATCATTCTGATCTACTCAGGACCCTTTGGCCTCACTGCTGCCAACCTGCCCTCTTTCACTAGTGTGGTTGTGCTGTACCACACCGGGCATGCTCCCACCTCAGGATCGTGGCCGTTCCTATTGCTTGGGACATTTCAGTCTCCATCTGGTTTACTCCTTCCCTAATATCATTCTGATCTACTCAGATCCACCTTCTGAGTGGAGACATGCACGTACCATCCAATTCTCCAGACTGTCCTCCACCTCACACCTGGTGTTCCCACGTCCCTGCCTTAACCCCTTTGTCCCTTCTCTAGCATGCATCGCCATGTAATAGCCTACATAACTGACTTTGATCTTTGTTGACTGTTTCTTTCCCACTAGAGTGCAGGTACCAATGGGACTATTCTGCTCACTGATGTAACTGCAGTGCCTACCACATGCTTGGGGTAGGGGTTCAGTAAATATGTTGTTGAAGGAACGAATAATCATACTAGTACCTCTGCAGGCTGTATCCTGATGTCACTTCATTATTACCTACCATTCTCTATGTCCCACTATTTCTTCCAGAATGAGCACAGGAAAAATCAGAAAGGGAGGGAAGAGAGGGAGAGAATAAAAGAGGAAATTAACAGAAAGGAAGGTGGAAGGAAGAAGGAAGGAAGCAAAGCGGGAAGGAGGGGCTACAGGATGGAGAGCCTCGCCCCATGTCTGTGGCTCAGGCAGGTTCCTACCTGGGGGGGCGTGGCTTCAGGAGGCTTTTCCAGGGCACTGTGAGGGTCTGTGTCTGGGTCAGGGTCTGAGGCTGGGGCTGGGGGCAAAAGGTCTGGGGTAAGATGTTGGGGCTGGGGGTTAGTTGTGAGTGGCCCGGGAGCTGGGCTAGAGTCTTGGAGCAAGGTCTCGGTGGTCAGGGGGAGCTCATCCATCCCGAAGATCTGCTCGTAGTGCAGGATGAGGAACTCCACCAACTGGGCCTGGTGCCCAGAGTCCAGCAGGCAGGTGACAGAGCTACAGCCAGTTGATCCTGGACTGCCTGGTGGCTGCAGCAGTGTGGGTCCAAACACAATGCCCAGGTTGTTGGCAGACATCTTGTTTTCCTCAAACTGTGCAGCCACCCTGGGGAAAGTGTGAAAAGGGTCAGGGCACAGAGTGCACAGTCACTCATCGCCAGGAACAGCAGGCCAGTGGTGACTTGCCCTGGTCAGAGGTAAGTGGCCCTGGTCATTGTTTGAGACCAGCAGCAGCCACATGTCTGGTGATGGAGGTCAAAGGTCTGGTGATGGATGTCAAGAATCAGCACCCAGCATCAGGAGTCATGCATTAAAGTTCAGAGCTCAGCAAACACTTATAGAGTTCAGAGGTCAGTCTCAGGTCAGTTCCAGTGGCCAGTAGTCACGGATCCAGGGAAGGAGTCAAGATCCGTGCCTTGGGTCAGTCCTATTTCAAGGTTGGGGACAGTGCTCACCTGAACAGATGGGCCACCAGATGCCGCAGGGTGTTGTAGTTAGATTTAGGCAATATCTCCAAGAGGGTCTTCAGTGAGCGGATAATCTCAGGGCTGGGGCTGGGGGTCCCGGGATACTGCCCAGGGTCTGCGTGCAGGGTCTTAGCCAGAGAGATGAAGGCGTCGTAGAGGTGGAAGGGGACCACAGGGTCAGTGAGCTGGGGGTGGAATGGTGGGAGGGACATGGGTGTGGGTTGGCTGTGGAGGGTCCTCACACTGAGCCCACCGGGCCCCTGTACCCCTGAGTCCCTGAGCACCCACCTCCTGGAGGAATCGTTTGAGGACACTGGAGATGTCATGTGGTGAGTTTCCTGACAGGTCCACCAGTGCTCGGCCATTCTCGAAAGCCTGACACAACCGCTCCACACGGACCCGGGACCCGCTGATCCGATAAATGCCCTACAGGGCAGGGGTGGGAAATGGATACTTGATTCAAGATCTGTCCATTGAGAAGGCTGGGTCACTACTGGGAATGGTCAAGGATCAAGGTGGCACCTGCACACCCAGGGCGCGCTGTTCTATCTCCGCTGTGCACCTGGTGACGACAAAGGGCACCTCCTCCGGGAAGTCCCTGGGTAGCTGCAGGAAGTCGACCCCAAAGAGGGAGGTCCGGGCTGGGAGCCGCCTGTGTCCGCAGAGAATCAGCAGAGTCTCCAGACAGCGCTTGTGGCAGGTCAGATAGCACTGGGGGGAAGGTCACAGGGTTGGGGGGGTCACTGGGGTCTTAGGGAAGCGAGGGTGAGAGTCTCAGGAGACTCATAGGAGATCATTCCTAGGCTCTCATAGGAGATCATCAGTTCAAGGCAGGTCCCTGCAGCAGGAAAGTCACAAGGATCTCAGCTCAGGGAGGAGTCTTGGGTCAGATAGGTCATCAGAGGTGACAGAGGTCATACCTCCTCACACTCGGTCCCGCTGACCATGAAGGCCTCGCATTCACGACACTTGGCTGGGCCCCGAAGCCGTCGTAATCGGTGTGTCTGGGCCGCGTTGGACAGTGACCACTTCCTGAAGGGGCTGCCTAGCCCATTCTCCAGCCCTTCTCCCAGGTCTGTGGGGAGACAGGGTCAGGTAGCTGGTCTACTCCCCACTCTGCCCCACCTACTTTCAGCCTTACCAGGTTCTCTTTCTTCAAAGTCATCTGATGACTCAGTGCCTGTGGATGACACCTTCACCAACCGCCTGATGCCAGGGCCTGGAGTCAGGATTATAGGGAGGTTGGGGATCACAGGGGCATGGGGAGGCTCAAAGGCTAAGGAGAAATTTTGGGTTTTCAGACCTTCTAGAAGCACCCACAGGTGCCCATAGGGAAGGTCAGAACTTAGGAGGGCCCAGACAGCTCAGAAATTAGAATGGTTGGAGAATGGGTCAGCAACCTGTGGAGTGATTCATAGGTTGGATCAAGAAAATGGGTCAGTTTTTAGGGAAAGAGGTCAGGGGTGCAGGATAGGTTAGAGATTGAAAGTAAGTCTGATCAGGGCTTGGAGGACAGTAGGTCAGGCTCAGGTCTTGGACCCACCTGGGCTGGAAGTGGGGGAGTCCAGAGACCGAGATTCACTTCCACCTCCCACACTGTCCACATCACTGCCTGGAGTGGGGCCTGGAGTGCCTAGGAAGGTAAGTTTCTGTTAGGATGGCTCCTGTTCAGACACGGCTCCCACCTGACCCTCTCGGCACTCACCTTGCCAGCCTGTGCTTGTGTCCTCCCAAGGGCCTGGCTCGGCAGTACTCTCATCCAGTTGTGGAGGTAGGGGGCCAGAGACCTTCTTTCTTGTGTCCAGAGAAGAGCTGAGGGGGAGAGGTTTGAGGATTCTGGTAACCAAAAAACTGGCTGGGGTGACAGCGTTCAGGCATCACTTTTAGGACCCAACTCCAAGTTCTTGGGCCCGCAAACCTTGATGCCCATGAGCACTGTGGCACCCAGTCCAGTAGCCCCAAAGTCCCTATACTACCAGCACTAGGACAATCCCCTATAATGGGTGCTAGATCCAGGTACTGAGGATTGAAGTTTTCTGATGCTGGGGACTCAGCCCTCCTGTTAGGCATCTCTTGGACTCACACAGACTGCTCAGGACATACCTGTTCACAGAGGGCACAAACTCCTGGAAGGAGAAGGCAGGTGGTGGGGGCGGTGGGGCTTCAGGCTGCAGTGCTCGAACCATCTCCTGGTAGCGCTGGCCGGGCTCGAAGGGGGCACAGCACTCGGCCAGTGCTGCAAAGGCACGGGGGCCTTGCTCTGCCTGTGCTCCCCGCAGCCCAAACAGTCCTAGTGTTACCTGCAAAGCAGACAGCATGTGAAAGGGCTGGGGCCTCAGGAAAGGGGAGGTGGAGGAGTAGTTAGGTTGTCAGGGGAGCAGAAACTTCCTACATAGGGAGAGGGAGCAAGTGCTGGTATCCTGGAGGAAGTTTGGGGACAGGGCCCTCAATTGGGGCTCAACAAGAATTGGGGACAGTCCCGGGGCAGGGTCTCACCCGCCTCAGCACTTCGTCCCCCTGTAGCACCAGCTTGCGAACATGGGACACAATCCGCTGCTTGGTGGCTTCCAGGTCTTGCTGCCGTGCGTTGGCCTCACGGACACAGGCCTGGTACAGAGCCTCAGCCTCCTGCACCTGGGGAAACCATGGACTAGTGTGGGAGACCATGTGGTCAGGGCACCACAGCACTGGGGGGCACCTGGGTGGGGCCCCCACCTTGGCTTGGGCCTCTTCTCTTGAGCGCCTCCGCTTTTCTTGCTGCTTGCTGGGTCCTGGTGAGGCCTGAGGAGCCCCGTCTTCCGGGGACGCCTGGGAGCGCACCCACAGGTCCTCGCTGCGCTGCTCATACTGGAGTTGGGCCCTCCGTAGTGCCTGCACGGCCTCGTTCTGGGGGTGGGGGGGCAGTGTCATTGCCCCTTCTTCTTCTTGCCCTGCCCACACCACCACCCACCCTGCACCTCACCATCCGCTTCTGCTCTTTCAGCCATTGCTCCTTGAACTCCTTCCGCCACTTTTCAATCTCAGTCCGCTTGGCGGCCAGGGGCTGGCAAGGATGGAGGTTGGGGATGCTGCCTCAGGGCTACCTAGCTCTTCTGTTCCCCCAGGCTTCATGCCTTTTGTTCTTGGGACACTTTTCTGGGTCTGTACTCTCTCCCAGACCAATTCTCCTCTACCCCCTTGTCCCCATAAAGAGTCTCAGTGGCCACTAGCTCCTTTTTGCCTGGAATCAGAGATGCCAAGGCTCTTTTCCTAGAAATACTCAGTGCCAGGGTTGCATCTCTCTTACCTGCCTCTCCCCTTCAGCAAACAAACAACAGCACAATTTTGCAATAGCTCAGGAAGCCTGGTTTGAATCTCTGCTGGGTAGCCTTGGGCAAGTTCCTTAGCATCTCGGGGCCTTGGCTTCCTCATCAGCAAAATGGCTTTACTGTAACAGTGGCCTCCCCTGGGGTGGTTGTAAACAGAACCCTCACTCAGGGACAGCAAGGTGCCTGTACCTGGTAGTAGTCTCTTTTCTGCTGGGCCACCGTCTCTGTGGCCAGGTTTCCCAAGTTGAAGTCATGTTGCAGAAACAGGGTATAGACGTACTGAAGCGGCATGTGGCTCTGGGGACAGGGGTGATGGAAGATGCTGAGGCTCTAGGGAGACAAGGTTGGGGTTCTGCAGGGCTTAGGCAGGGGGGTGGGGAGTTCTGCTTACAGCTACCTGCTGGTGGATTGACATCTTGCCAGTCTCTGCAATCTTTATGATACTTTTGGCGAACTCCAGCTCTGTGAGAAGAGAACAGGGACGTGAATAGGCCAGGAGTTTCACCCAGGGACTGGGACTGGGCAGAAGGGGCCCTCACCAAGACTGGCTCTCTTCTCTGTCCAGGCCAGTAGCTCCTTGGTGTAGCGGTTCCAGGTCTTGGCATATTCCAGGGCTGCATCGACACCGCCCTTCGTCCGTATGAGCCGCAAATCCAGTTCTTCCGCTGGGGTAGACAGGTGAACCTCTGCTTTCTGCCCTCCCTTGGGGCTTCCCCAGAGTTCCCAGACCAGAGCTGTGGCCTCTATTCTACGCCCTGTGTACCCCCCCACCCCGGCCTTGCCGTCCCTTTGAATCAATTGTCAAGGATGCAATTTCCTTCTGTTTATGAACTCAGACGCGCAGCTGCCCGAGGGACTCGGCTCTGTTATGTGTTCTGCCATGTCTTCGGAACAGGCAGTCCGGTGGTGACTTGTTGAGAGAAAGATGGCTTTCTGCCCCCACCCACCCTGGCCTGAAAACCCCCTACCTGTAAGGGGAACAGGACCCTCTGGAGAAGGACCACTCCACTGGCAGGTTTCATTGGTCTGAGAGGGAGGAAGAAACATTTGGGACAAGCAAGGCAGGGGTCCCACCTCTCTAAAGCCCACATTCCAGCGGGCCCCCTCCCTCCTGCTGTGGTGAGGAGCCTCCTCACCACAGTGGCTGTAGGGGTCTTGTCAGGCTTTGGGTCTTCTGAAAGCGGAGGGTCTCCAGCCAGCATCTCCAGGTTCCTGGGAAGTAAGGATATTAGGATGCTGCCCTCCACCTAGTCTACCCCTCCTAGGGATGCTGGGCCTCAGGGCAGTTGGAGCAATGGTCCTGGTTATCACCTTTCTAACGTCTCTTGGATCTGGGAGGTCTGAAAGATTTTTTTTGGTGGGGTGGGAGATGGTGGTGGTGGTGCATAAAACCAGGTCAGTTTGTTTTATAAGATTTGAGACTGGGTTTGAAGGGTCTGTGAACTTTGGGGTTCATAGCGATTATAGGAATCTTGTGCCCTCCCTGGTGGTGCAGTGGGTTAAAGTGCAGCAGTGAAAGCTGGCACAGCTACTTCAGCAGGATCCCCAGCCAGGGAGCTGACCCAGATGGCCCGGCAGACCTCTCCTGTCTTGCTCGCTGCTCCCCTTAGCGGTATCTTTCAGTCTACCTGCCTGTTCTGCTCCCCACTCTGTCTCTGGTGGGTCCTCTCACCCCCCCACCTCTGGCCTGAACCCCAGTTCTGTATGCATAAATAAATAAATCTTAAAAAAAGAGATTATAGGAATCTTAAATATTTTAAGGAGTCACAAAAGGATAATGGAGACCCTAGGACAACAGTGGGGATTTCCAGTGTTTTGGGGTTTTAATTTTGAGATATTGGGTGTCTTGGAGGGTTCTATCTTAGACCTCTCAGGTTATTAGGTAAATGGATTCAGATGTTGCTGGTTCCTAATGGAGCTTCAGGGCATCTAAATGGTTAGGTACTGGGGGATACTGGAAGGATTTGGGGATGACCCAGGCTCAGACTCACACGTTCAAGATCTCGAGATTGTCCAGGCTCTGGAAGATATCACTGTACCTCTTCCTGCTCTCCGAAGCCGGGGGTACCCCTGGGGAAGGGGAGTGTCATACAGGGGTCAAATGAAGCCTCCTTCTAGTCACCTAAGCCAGTGGTTTGGTAGTAAGGGCTAAGGTAGGGTAGGAGGTGGGAGGGGAGGGGCAGAGAGAGAGAGAGAGAGAGAGAGAGAGAGAGTGGGGTGTTCAGGATGGGAGTGGGTGCCTGAGCTGGAAAGAAGTGAGTGAGTATGGCTTTGGGTGGGGCCTACTCTGCAGGCAAATGGACTCAGGCACAACCCAATGCAGAGACAGCTGCTCAAAGCAGCAGAGACATCCACACAAACACATCCCATAGGCAAAGTGACAAAACAGATGCCCCTGATGCATCCACATGGGGGTGGGGGGGAGGGGGATGCTGGCTTGACAATGGAGGCACATGGACCTCAGGCCAGACAGATGGATACACACGTGGGACACACGCACACAGCTAATAGCTGAAATACACACAGGCAGGCTGAAACCACAAGGGACAAAAAGAACAAATAACAACATACACAGCAGAAACACACAGACTGGGGAAACAGCTCCAACCTTGCTACATTTCAGCCACAGACCCCTGGGGGGGGGGGCGGGTTGAGCTGGGCCGCTTCCACCCTGTGCTATAGAGGAGCTGGGTGGGCATCCTGCCACGTTGCCTTCTCCATCAAACGACAGTGACACCCTGCCCCCATCACAATTTCAGAAGCAGAAGCGGCCACTTCCCCTTCCTGGGCCCCTTCCCCCAGGCATCCGGGGTGAGGGCTCCAAAGCTGGAGGGGGCCAGGAACCTGCGTCCAGACCTTTTCAGTTTAGGGTTCTCCACCATGGAGGATCTCCGTATCCTCCCCATTTAGGAACTTCTTTCCTGGTTTTCTGGGTGGAGAGGGACAGGCGAGGTCCCTCAGTTTAGTCAGTGGGGTGAAGTAGGGGGAGGCCCCTTTCAGATCCCGTTTCCCGGATCGCCTACCCGGCTCTGCTGTGTCCATGGCCCGGCCAGAGGATCGCTTGGCAGGGACAGGGACTGGATTAGGGTCGCGCGCCGGCGGGATTTCCTGCCGTGGCCGCCGCCTGCCTGGGATCCGCGCCTGCCTGGGATCTGCGCCGCCTCGCCCAGAGGAGACTCTGCCCCTCTCTAAAGGCTCTGTCTTAGATCACGCCCCACTGACAGGCCACACCCACGACGCCCTCAGGCTTAGACAGTTGCCAGTACCAGCCCCTCCCTCAACCTCCCTCAGGGCTTGGACCATAGCCCAAACCAGCCCAAACCTCCGAGATCACTGCAGGTTGGTATACCCCCAGACCTAGACATTTCTGGAATCCATCCTAACCAAAGTTCACCCCAGGGTTGCCCCGCCCCAAAGCCCCAGGACACATCAACCCTCCCACCCCCACAGGAGAGGCCATTCTCTAGGACCCCAGTGACATCCCTACTCTGGGGTCTCTTGGACTCCTGAAACCTCTCCAGGCAGGACTGGGGCCATGGAGCCCCCTAGTGGAAGCCTGAAATTCTGCCTTATTTGATTCGCGTGAGACTAAGGTCACAGACCCCTGACTTGTATTTCTTATGGCCCTCAAAGCTGGCACTTGGGGACTTGGAGACAGAATTAGAGCAGCCAAAAGTAGCCCTAATGCTACATTCAGGCACAGGGGCCAGAGATCCATAAGTTCCCTAAGAATCCTCTCCTGAAAGTCCCAAGTCCAGTGTGCTCCCCTTAGGATTGTCTCAGGGGTTCAGCCTCCAGACATTCAGTGACTACAGCAGCCCCTTGGAAGAGCTTGGGCAGCACTCAGTCCTTTCATGGTGTTCACAGGCTAGTCCCTGCCCCTTCCCTGCTTCCACTCCCCTGTATCACATTCCACTGCCAAGGGGAAGCTGGATGGGATAGGTTGTTGAGGATGACAAAGGACTAAGGTAGGAAAGGCCTGAGATCCCAGCAAAGGGAAGGTGGTCCAGAGCCTGGGTGCCCTGGCCTGAGGTAATCATACCCAGCTTGTCAGATATAAAAATGTACCCACACCTTAACTTACACTTACTGGAATTTCTGGCTAGAAATACAGACCTTGTGTTACTAGTTTTTGGCCCCCTGGCCAAAAATGTAAAATGTAAAAATGTACCCGTACCTTACTCTTACTGAAATTCCTGGCTAGAAATAAAGACCGTATGTTTATAATTTAGTTTTTGAGAAGACAAGAAATCTGACTGGCAATGATTCTCAGGTCTCAAGTAATTACTTTCAATTCCTGAGTGTTAGTGAGTGAGTGCCTTGAGGAAGGACAGTGTCAGTCCAAGTGCTGAACCCCAAGCTGGCAGGCTCTGGCCTGCTGCGGCCCATCTGTGACATGAGATGACAAAAGAATCTTTATGGTGCAAGACCCCGAGAGTGACCCAAGTTGGCATTTGTAATGATGTAACTGCGCCTTCACATGTCTAGGACACCATGAGGGCCTGGTATTATTTTGCTTGCTATTGAAAGAAAAACATGGTTCCTAAGATGACTCCCAAAGTGTTTATTAAATGTGGTGTTGAAAGGGACCACTGAAACACAGGGCTGCGTGTTACACAAGAAATGTGCAGAGTTCTCTGGGCTCGGCCATTCAAACACTGAATGTGTGCAGGTATGAAGAGCAACCTCACATGCCCGCAGAGAGGGTGCCAGGACTTCCTGAGGTTATCACCCCGATTCCCAATGCCCCTGTGAAGCGCAGACAGAGTGGAGGCAGAAGTGAGGCAGGGCTTCTTAAAATCGTGGATGCTGCTTTATTTACCAAAGGTGCTGGCCTGGGTCTGTTTCTGCCAGCCAGGCCCATGGACAGCCAGGGCAGTCCCAGTACAGTCTTGGTGGGCAAGGCTGGACGAGCCTTGCAGTAGGGACAGTGTTCCCTCCTGAGGTCCTTGAGCAGCTCCTGCCCAGTGATAGCAGGGTGGGCAATGGTTGCCAGCATCACCATCTCAGGAAGGCACTTTCAGCTTTGGGGTCCCCAGGAAGAACTGCAGGACACGGTCAGCCAGGAGCGCCAGGCAGAAGTCGAGAAGCAAGACTTGAGCGATGACCAGCTTGAACTGTGGGACAGGGTATGAAATGAGCCAGTTGCCCAAAGATGGGCCTGGGCTGAGCTCCAGGGCCATGTCCACGGGACCACTCACCTCTACAGGGATGTCCACAAGGCCAAACTGGCTGTTGAAGTCGGGTGAGGAGCCAAGAAGCAGGCCAATGATGGCCAGGAGCGACACAATCAGGCTCCACACTAGAGGCCTGTTCTCGGGCAGACTCTCCATGAAGGGTGGGCCCTGTGAGCACAGAAAATATATGTTGTGGGGGCTGGTTGGGGGGCGGGTGAGTGGGCTGGGGCAGGGGCCAGACCTTACCTTGTAGTTGATGGCAAAGGTGGCCATCTGCATGGCCATGGCCATGATGTACACGGTGCTGTTGACCAGGCTTGGCTCAAACTCCTTGTACAGGTCCACAAACTGTTCCTGTCTGCAGGGACACGTGGGGGTCAGGACCTTCTGCATCTTCCTTGCTGTGCAGAGTCAGGGCTCTGCCTTGCTGAACCCACTGATGTTTGCCACCCTTCACCGCAGGGATGTCTTCTCTTCTGGGAGCACCTCATCCACCCCCCAGACTCCTAATGGGGTAGTACTCACTTCTCAGGGCTCCGAGCCTGGGCCTCACTGTACAAGTAGATGAGACTCAGGAAGTGCACACAGAACTGGAGTGCGACTGTGAGGATGGTGTAGAGGTTGAAGATGTTGGGCAGGGGCCGCTCTCGGGACAGGGTCTTGAGGGGCTGCAGAAGGGTGAGGGATCAGGGTCCATGCTTGCTCTGGGGCAACGTGCCCACCTAGACTCTTGACAAACCTCACCACAGAGCACTCACCAAATCCTGTTTGTCAGATTGGCACAAGTCCCCAGAACATTGCCCACCCGACCACTTAGCGTAGGGCCACCTCAGTCCACGCACTGCATGGTAGCCATACAGGTATTCAATCCAGCTGTCCCTGTTCCTACTGATCTGGAACAAACCCAAATCCCTCCCTGGGGCCGTGGGTACACAAGGTTGACCCAGCAACCTCTGGTTACCAAATCTTCTCCTGTCAGCCTCTGGCTTTTCTACCTAGTTCCTAGCTGCCTCTCTTATTACTCATCCCTCAGTCTGAAGACCACCACCACACAGGCTTCCCCCACCAAGCCTGAGGGTCTCCCGAGAAACTCTCTCTATGTTTCTCATGGCACTACATACCCTAAGAGTGATCCTGACAATCATTTCCTCATCTGTCCCCTCCTTTCCTGTTTATGTGGACTACCTGAAACCCCAGTCTGGGTCAGTGTAGGGTGACTGGAACTTCATGGCAGGGGCATTGGGTAAAAGCCTTGGCAGGCACCTACCTTGCCCCCTGATCTCCCCTATAATGTGGGGGCAACAGTTCCCATTCACCCTGGCTGGCCCAAGCTTCCTGGCCATCAATCTGAAAGATGCATCCCAGCATCTCCAAGGTGGCATGACTTGGAAATGAGGGGGCCCTTGCATTATCTGGAGTTCCTGCCTACCTTGGAGCGGGAGATGAAGAGGAAGCAACCAGCCAGCAGCAGCCCCTGCAGTGTAGCCTGAAAGTCGCTGAACTTGACACCCTCCAGGTAGAGGACGCTCTGGCTATAGGCCAGGATGAGGGCATTGAGTGCTAGGATTTTGAACATCTGCAGCGTGGTCACTAGTGTGCAGCGTCCCTGCTTGATCACGTGGCAGACTAGGGGTGAGGGGAGGCAGGTGTGAGTATGGGGGCCAGGCAGGGCAAGGGGGCACGGGCTTGGAAGGGACTCACTGCACTGGATGGATGAGAGTTTGGAGGTGAAGGGTGCAGCGATGCTGGCATCTCCCAGCTTCACAATGGGTGTGCTCTCATCCTCAAGATCCCGCAGCACCTGGCTCAGCCGGTCCTGTGGGGTGGGTGGCGAGGGTAAGACTTGGCCACAATTTTGTGCTGGTATCCCCCCTTTCTGAAACTTACCCGTTGGGAGGCTGGCTGCTCCTCAGGGGGTGGGAGCCCCGACCTCTGCTTGGCAGCCCTGGAGGTGACCCTGATGCTGTTCTGAACAGGGCTGTCCCGGGGCCGCCTTCGCCGCTCGACAACCCGCTCGGGGGCATTGGCCAGGAGTGCCACACCTGAGGAATGTGTGTTATCAGTAGTCTATGAGCCCTCACCCTTAGGCCCTGCCACTCTGCCAAAAGCAGCATGAAGTTGGGGGTCTGCTGGAGGCAGAGATGGGGCCTTGCAACCAAAGCCCTGATTTCACCCCCTCTCCCCAGGGAGCAATGCAGGCAGCAGCTATTTTGCTCTCTTCAAACTACTTAACAAAGCAAAAAATCTGAAAAAACACATACTAGATGGGAGTCAAAACTGAACTGAATATGAAAGAAATTCACTGCTAATTTTAAGAGATACTTCATAAGCTCTGCAGTTGATTTAAAAAGCAGGCTAAGTGTTAGAAACGTTGACCTTTAAAATGTCAACCAGAGGCTGTAAACATCTGGCTCAACTTAGCTCCCATTATCCCATCTCTTCTGGCCTCTGCCCTCGACACAAGCACTGTGTCCACATGGTGTCCGAGTCGAATCTGCTCCATGTAGCGTCCCTAGACTCCCCAACTCCTGTGACCTTAGTGGCAGGCAGTGAGCTTCACACCTGGTGTCTCTCGCTGCCCTTGCAGACCCTGGCCTGGTGCTTAGCCTTCTCTCTTGCTGTGATGTCCCAGACAGAGGTAGCCCAGCCAGCGGACTTACCCACGTCAGCATGCTTCAGGGCGCCCACATCATTGGTGCCATCCCCGCACATGAGGGTCACGTAGCCCAGCTCCTTCAGGCTGGTAATGACAAACTCCTGTGTGGGTAGACGGGCTGTGAGGGTGATGTGCTGCCACCAAGGCCCCACCTGCCCTCTCCACTGAACCTACCTTCTGTT